GAGCAGCAGGACTGTTTTTACTTCACAACAGAATCAGTAATTTTTCATCACATCCTTTCAGATTCTCTTGACTGAGGACAAAGCTTTGGCCAATACTGATAACCCAAACGTGAGTGGACTTTTTCTTCAGATCTTCATTGCATTTGTCCAGGCAGAACATTTTATATAATTACAGGCAAATAGAAGCGAAATTAAAACTCCCCTCAATCTAAGCAGTTTTCACATTAGGGATTATTCAAGTAAACTCTGGTTTAATTAAGCTCCTTGGCCCAGGGGTGCTGCAGCACAAAAGGGCCTGTTGTTGGGCATTTTCAGCTTCAGGAAAACTCTCGACTGTATTCATCTGGGCCACTTTCAGGAATGGGTCTAATGTTGTAGCACCAATATCACCCATCCTTATCAGGCCCTTGATGTACTGCAAAAGCATATTTCATCAATTTTGAAAATGCAGACCAGAATGTGTATCTCTGATGATCAAAGACAACATGTCTCATAGACTACTGCTAATCGACATACACCAATAGAAGATATATAGGACTACTTTTTTCACCAATCAGCTCAAAGGCATTTCTCAAGACATGCCTGTGTTATTTTCTAGATTCTGTTCTCTACAGCCAGTTTATAAATCCTGTTATTCGTTATTTTCATAATGAAACGTGCACAATTTATTCCCTTGCTGGTAGTCAATAAGCAATCTATTGGGCTGCCAAGGAGATGCTTTGTTTATTGTTCAGCTTATTTCCTGAAAATTCCAACCAGGTGGTTAGTTGATGTTGCAAAGTCGTAGATTAGAGTCGTGGATAGGAGTCATAATATAGTCGTAAAGGCTCAATATCAAGTATAGCAGTTCCATTAAACGTGCATTTTTATCCTAGATCAGCAAAAATCTTCTACAGCAGGCAGTTGATTTGTCAGATTTGTTGCTAGATGGCTACGTCACTCAACTCCAGTTTCTAAAGTAAGAAACCTTTTTACAATTAAACAAATTAATCAGAGAATAACGTAATCATGATTGTCTTTTTTCATATTTCATTTTGTCAGTTAATTTATCTCATCAGTTCTACATAAGTTGAACAAAGTTTCTTCTTTGGCATCTCTTTGTTTTAGTCTTTTGTGTTTTTCTGTCTCTATGTAATCTTTATCTTTTTTCTGTTTTGATTATTTGACTATGGTTCAGCTTGGCATAAATTTTCTTCGCTAGTCCTTTCAGTTTCTATACTATATAGGCATGTAACAAGAATCGTGAGTTACCTAAGCGTAAAAATTAGTACAAAACATTGGCCATACTCTCTCAATTTTTGCTCAAGCCTGTATACGTCATTAATACAGAGCCATAGATTCGTCAAGCTTTATTCTTCACAGGCTCGTATTCAATTTGTACCTGATGAAATCAAATCAGAGCTACATTCTTGAGTTTGTAGTACTTTTATCATTTTCTGACGTATATATTTTTAGAGCCACAAAAAATGACTGTGGACAACTGCAACTTGAGTTTGAAACTGAGCGAAAGTCTGCCATTGAACCTCTCAGTAAGTGATTAAACATTCTGTTTTGGCTCTGATTTTATTACTTTTTTAGTTTTAACCTTACTCTACTCAAAAGTTGCCAAAAAGGAGAAAACCGATCTTTAAGAGATGCTAATACAAAAACTGGAATCGTGAAATGCAAACATTCCGGTTGCCTGGAAACAAGAGCTCTCGCTGACCATCTTTGACAAGGCTGATTATCGAATAACAATAGTTTTACCTTATCTTGATAAATGAAAAAGCATTTAATGTGAAAAAACCGTAATTAAAAGAACCATGATCTGTCGATTGTATTTGCAGGATTAGTAATTTTATCGTTGGTTTATTTCTCGGTACAGGCTACACGGTTCCCTGCGCTACTTTGCTCCGAATGGACTTTTAAATCCTTGAATGAAACTTTATTAGTCCTGTGCCAAAGATATTTCCACCAAGTGATCTTAGGGCTTGACATGGCTTTTTCACCAATATCTTAAATCCTAGTAAATATCACTTTGGCCTCCCTGAAATTAAGCGCATCACCGAGATCAACAAATATAAGCTGTTTTGGTATCAATAAAGCAAAATTAGATTCACAGAAGACGTATTTTAGATTTTTGCGTAGATAGTCTGATCTTTATTTTCCTTCGTAGTTCAACAAGAACATTACAAGATGGCGTTGGCACTGGCCGAAAAATACAAGGATTTTGCACTTATGATAGAAATCTGCGACAGAGAAGGAAACCATGAAAAACTTGAGAAATACAAGGCTACACTTGTATCAGAGGTACCTACCTATTCAAACTAATTTTGTTTGCTTCATAAATTGTATGCCAGTGTTTTAATTGCTCCTTTCCAAATCTCTTGGGAATTATATCTCGTGAGAATGAAATTTTATTTTATTGCCGATGTGTTCAAATTCAGCATTATTCTTTCTACGAGGCAATGTAGTTGAAATCTGCTTAATTTTTTCAAGTATCCTGAATACGTAACAGAAATATGTCATCTTGAATATTAATTTCAACCACAGGATGCGGTATTATGTTGAGCTCAATGTGAAATTAAAACCTATATTAAGAAGCATTAGAAATACTTTCTTTCTACTGGTTCTGAAATGTTATATTTTTGAACTGCCAATGGTCAAGTGTTCGATTAGGTCTGTTCCACGTTCCAGACGACTTCTGGCTCCTTCAGGAGGTTTTATGCACTTCGCACCATTGAAACGTTCAAATAGTATGTTTTATTAAAAGTAATCTAACATTATTTGAATGGGGAGAGGGGGAACCGTTAATCTGAATGGCAAATATGCTGTTGGTGTTCAAGACATTTGACAGGCACTGTATCTCACACTCATGAACCGTTGCTCAAAACATTTGCTCTTTTGTAGGGTTTTCTAGATTTTCTCTTCAAATGGTACTTGGATAGGGGTAAGTTACCCTTGAATCTTTTAAACTGCATTGTGAGCCATCTGCTGCTTCATTACTTTTCATTTAAGCACCGGTATTTACCGGGCTGAACCCGAACAGACTTCCGGTGGTATTTTACAGAATAAACTACTTGAACATATGCCAAGCAAGTTTGTGTTTTTTTTTTCAGGTGAACTTGGAAAACTTTTAACCGAAAGCTCATCGTCCCAACTCGAAAAGTTCTTGAGCTCTCACCACCATCTAAGCTGGCTACACTTCATTGGAAATGGTGAATACGAAAAGGTAGAATAATTTGTTCAGTAATGTTAAGATTTTCTGACATATATAATTTTGAATTAACCAAGCTGGTTATAATATATTTTCTTGACAGGAGTGCTCAGGTTACTTTTTGGGTTTAGAATTCGAGCAAAGTTGTTTCTTTCGGTCAGTCAATTGTACAATTTACATTTTTGGGGTTCTTAAAATTCTAATTATTTTTAGTCTTTTTTCTTGTCCATAGTGAGAATAATTATATTTGGGTCAATTTTCACCCTAGAAGTTATTTTTAGCTGTTGATGATTTGTACCCCTTACCTGAGCACCCCTATCCTTAATATGTATGAGTACCCTCTCCCTTAGGAGATTTAACGGATACTTGTTTATTCAATTCCAAAAAAATGAACTCGATTTTTTTTTGCTTTCAATTTGTTTGGTCCTAGGTTTTCAAGTTGTTACAATTGCTTGGTTTTCAGCCTAAAGCTCTTGTATGCCCTTCACTTAGACTAATTTGTGAAAAGTTTTTATCAATTTCTTTCCAAATTTTCATTCTTTCTGCAATCAAAGCCTCCTCGTTACATATAAAATTTTTTAAAATGCGCAAGCTTTATTAAGTGTCAAGTGCGATCCGTTCTGTAAAGTTTGGATTTCCTGACAAACTCAGGGTTATAATTAACGGATATTTGTTTATTTAAGCTAAAAATAAACCTTAATTAGTTTTGCTGTCTAGTTGCTAGGTTGTTCTTGTCCAAATATTTCAATTTTTTATTTACCCTGCTTTTGGAATAAGTTTACTCGATGTTCCTCTCTCAGAATAATGTGTGCAAAGTGCACCTCTCCAATCATTTTTCCTGTGGTAGGCAAAACTGCCTCGTTGCATATGATTGCGTTAAAATGAACAATTCTATTATACAAGCATTGAGGCGCTGTTTTCAATCCTCTACACATGCTCTATGGATTGTAAACTTATAGTATTTCAGGTCTGACCATAAAAACCATGGTTTCTTTTCATCAAAGGTAATGAATATGGTGTTAAGGCAAAAAAATACGACAGGTCCCTAACTATTTTCAAAAATTGCGAAACATGATAACTTCAAACTTCTTACTGCTGTGAAACTGATGAATTGAGAGTGGATTGAGTGCATTTTGAGATAACTATTGATTTTTTTCTCTCAGAAAAATTTAACAACAGAACCTTCACGTTGTGTTGGACTGTCCATGGTTGCAAGGCCATTTGAGAGTAAACGCTTTGATAGTAAGCTTGTTATTTTCGATCATTTCTAGGCATCTGATGTTTTAAAAAGAACTGCAAAAGGAGAAAGATCGTTTTTAGCAAGAAAAAAGGTGAGTTCTACACCTCTGAAATTTGGTATTTGTTGAGAATGTCAGTAGCAAGTAGCGAATGGAGAACGCTCTTGTTATCAGATCTCATTTTTCGGGTAACTAAATATAAATACTGAAAAACCATTTGAGAGGTTCATTCACTCAAGCTTCTGCTGGATTTTGAACATGGTGACTTGATCACAAACAATGCAGCAGTAATGTTTTTAGGGTTTACCGTAAAAGCTCTATTAAGCCACTCCCTCTCTTCTAAGCCCTGCTTTCTATTAAGCCCCCGTCTTTCAAGCCCCCTCTTAGACCGAAAAAATGAATATCCCCCCCCCCCCGAGCTTAAAAGAGCTTTTATTTTGTTTGAATGAATTTGAGTTTTGAATGATAGCGAAGAAGAGAGTGAGAATACACTTAGGCAAGTGGATAAAAAGGAGACTCGAAGGGCGCTATATGAAACACAACACAAAATGGGGTCTCATCTTTGTTTTCAATAGTCTCCTTTTTTGATAGTCGTTAAATATTCCTCAATCTCATTGTGAGTTTCCATCTATTCTGTCGTAAGAACATACTTTTTTCGTCCGACGGAAGCTGGCGCGTTCAATATAGCCGATTTTTCTGTTGATGTTCGTAAATCGCCTTCGCAGCTTCTTGACTAAAGCCTTACAAATCAGTAGCGGGCTTTCCCCTTCTGCTCATGCGTAACATAAAACTAACAAAATAGAAAGCTAAAATGGTAAACAAAATAAACAAAATAAAATGGTCAATGTACAATGTTATGATTAATTGACGAATCCAACGTTACTAATATACTGCCTGTACCGGTCGCAGGTGCTTTTTGACCTCTTGGGGTGTTGCTTGATTCTGAGCTGTAATATAACTGAAAGTAACGACACGAATGGCTTGGTATGGTCGTAAATACCTTTCCAAGCTGGTATAAAGCCTATCTTTCATGGAATGTTAACCAAGGGCACAGGAACCTGTCTACAAAAAACACATCAGCTACCCACATTGCCTGAAAAAACATTTGCACAGCAAAAGCAATGAAAACTTACCTTCAAGGAGAAGGATTCCAATTTGCTGAAGATCGCTCGTGGAGTCCCCCAATGATCGTTCTTCGGCGCTTTTCTTTTTCTATTTTACATCTGTGATTTCTATGAAAAAACTTGGGAGTATTTGTCTACTTCGTACTCGAAATATTGAGATATCAACACGATTTGAAGAATTTGAAATTCTTCCAGTTTAGCAAAACTGTATCCATAATAGACTTTCTGCAAACTGTCGTCGAAAAAAGAAAACCCAGTTGACATATACTGTGATATTTTCGTTAATAGCAGAGGAACTGTTGAGATGAGATTCACAACTTGACCATGCAGCAGACGCAAAAGTTAAAATTATCGGTTTTTTGTTCCATTTATCAGACATTTTGCGTCGTCCCAAAATTTTGGGAATCATAAATATTTATTCCTTATACGATGTGTACTTCATTTCAATATAGAATAAGACTTAACAACAGAAATAAAAAGATCGCTGTAACGAAAGTTGTAGAAATTTTAGATAAATGTGACGGAGTTTGTATTTTGAAAATTCTTATCGATTTGAGTTTAATTTCCATTAATCGATTTAATTTGTATATTTGTTACATCAGCTATTTCAGTTCTGTCATCCTTTCGAGTTCTAAATTAAATTATGTTTTTTGAAATTACGCAAATCTTCATTGCTCGACGTTTTTGAGCTCAATTTATCTAACATTCCAGTAGTCTTGATCCAATTTTTCACGTTGATATTGTTGATTTATGACGCAATTAGGCTTGAATTCTTATAAGGAATTTGACCGTAAAAATCTTTCCGGATGAATCAACTGAAGTGAGGGCGAGACTTTTCACCCTAGGTCGCATGAAATGAATGGTACGAGCACTATCATCATGTAAACTTGCGCCTCAAGGACTATTCTTAAATCTGAATTTGTAGTAAAAAAATTATTATGTACAAGAAAGTTTCGTGTATTTCTCATTATATATAATCACACATTCCGTTGTATTTACAACATTGTGTACATCAAATAGTGAAAAAAAAAAGTTAGTTTCTCAGGCTTCGTTTGACTGTTCTTCGCCACAACACTCGATCCTGCACCGCTCTTTCAGCTTCATTCCATCCATCTAACTGCATATCTTTAAAGTCTTTGGTCATTGTTTGTGTTATCCATATGTACTTTTTTCTTCCCCTATGGGCTCTTCCAGGTCTTCTAGCTTCTCTTAAAGCCCATTGCGAGGTCTTAAACACGATTGCTTTTTAGGAAGCAACAGTACAGGTAAACTCACCGGATTCAACGCCGGTCCCATGGTGTAATGGTTAGCACTCTAGACTCTGAATCTAGCGATCCGAGTTCAAATCTCGGTGGGACCTATGTTTTTCTTTCTCATTTGCTTAACATAAAACCAGCATTTTTCTTTGCTAAATTGTGACGCTTTTCCATATAATGATAGCCATTCTTGTTGAAGAAATGAAAATAATTTTGCTTGAGTGTTTTATTTCTGTTCCGGGCTATTGAAATTCGGTAAGGGCTTCGGTATTGAAATCGTCCGCGAGTTATATTTTATTTTGAAGATTTAGATATTTCTGTAGATTTGACCGGAATTTGCTGCTGTTGTGAAAATTTCAATGCAGCAACAATCGGGTATTTCGCTGCCTGACATTCCAAACTACATAAAATTTTCAGCAGAGACTAATTTCAACATGAAAATTTCATCTCTATGATCCGTTTTTGGCAAATGCAGGGAGGGGCATTTTCAGTTTACCTACACATTGCCTGGCGTTGTCCAATGTAGGAGAAGGTTTTTTATTTCTAAAATCCTTCTAAAAAACGTTTGAGGTGAAGTTTAATTCTCTCGGCTGATCGATTGATGTTTTTGAAGGGTAGACCCAGAGCAAGAGTAGTTTTTCTGGCATTTGATAGTTTTTCTGGCAAAAAGTGGCAAAATTTCACATTTTGAAAATTTTGACCCAACAAACTGTATAAAAAATGAACTGGATGGAAAAGTGCGTAAATTAAATAAATGTTCAAAATTGATGCTTTGACAAAGTTCGATTCGTTTGTCCGCCGTGTTCGGAATCTTGTTCGGTAATTCTCGTTCGATTAAATATTTACCGAATTTTTCCATTGGGTGCAGAGTTCAGTGAAATGTTCTCTGTGTTCCATAGAACTTTTGGTCTGTTTAACAATAAATATGTGCTCTAATGAAAAGAAACATCAAAACAAGACCGCATGATGGGAAACTAAAAACCTTATGCTAAAGTAGAGTGGCTCATTCGATAGGGGGCTTAATCGAATTACCACGGTCTTGCAAAACTTTTGTTTGTGTGTTGAGGCATTTTTTTATTGGTTTTGTTTTTGCCAGCCTAAATGAATCTTTGATTTTGTATTCAGAAAATATAAAAGAAACTCATACCATGTTAAAAACCCATGGACTTTTAACATGGTCGCAGTAGATTTTAGTTATGTAACTTCTCACGAAACCAATTTCTCTTATTTGCAACTCAATGCGCCATAGAACAGAACGGCTTTTTACATTTTCGATTATCTCTAATTTCAGACGATGCTGTCGATCGCCAAACTTTGTTTATTGGCCACAGAAGAAGATTCGCCGAGCATTCCTCGTGATTTGGAAGGTGATCATTTCAATTTTAGCATAAATTTCATTTTAGCATATTTAAGCTCTTGCATTTTTATTTTTCATTTATGATTTGATTTCTTGATTATCTCGATTATAAATTCGATTTGAAATTTATGGTCATTTTGTTTATTAGGCTTGGTTATCGCGCCAAATTGGCTAGATTTACTTTAATGTCAGTGATTGGAGTATTGGCAAAAACCTTGTAATTTGTTATAAAGCAGAGAACTGGAAAGGCAACGAAAATCATGCCAATCAAATTACGATAGCAAATTTACCTAGATATTCAAATTTACAAAATTACGAAAGGTCGTATCAAATCATATAATGTCTTCCCCTTTGGATATCAGTGTCGCACATTGGAAGGTAGGCTGCAACAACGAAAATTAACGTAGTCTTGTTTCAAAAGTCACAAAGTCAGTCGTTTTGTTTCGCAGAAATCCAAAATCATCTAGATGTTATTTTACACCAAGAAACTCTGCCAGCTGCTGTTGTTGAGGTAAACAGTTTTATTTTTTCTATTGGGCTTTTTGGCACTAGTTTGGAGCTATGTTTTCAAAGTGGACGTTAAAGGGTTTTTTTCAAAGAAAATGAGAAAACTGGATCTAATACAATATTTGGTCAGCATAATTTACATACAACTTTTGCCGTTTTAACATATATAATAGTTAACTGCAATAACTGCTATCACGGCCTTAGACTTTTGAAAACTTTTATATTACTTTCCAAATATAAGGTCACCGCAAAATTTGATATCACACCCTCAACTTTTGAAAACTTTGGTATTATTTTGAAAATATTAGGTCGCCGCAATTTTTACGATTACACCCTGTTCTTTAGAAAACTAAAGAATTATTTTAGACCTTAGATCGAATTAATTGATACCACACAGCCTTAACTTTTGACAAGATTCAATATTTGGTCTCAATAATTGGTATTACATCATTGAACTTTCGATAAAATAACAACAATATTAAGTCGCATTCAATGATTTCATAGCCTTGAAATTTTGAAAAGATACAATATTTGTTCGCAATAATTGGTTTTACAGCCATGACCGTTTGAAAAGATACCATATTAAGACACAGTAATTGATATCACGGTCTTGAAACTTCGAAGATATACAATATTTGGATGCAGCAATTAATATCACGGCTTTAAACTTTTGAAAAGAAGCAATATTGAGTCGCAGTAATTGATATGATATCTTTTAGCTATTTAAATGCTTTCAAGACAAGTCTCATTCTATTTGATCTCAAGGCTTTCGAATTGACGATGATTCAATTCTGAACCTTACCGATTGATATTGCAACCCTGTGGATAATAAAGTAATGATTAATTTTGCCTGTTTCATCTCAGAATGCCGGAATCGATCCAAACAGCATGCCACCTTTGACGGTCGAGGATCTAATCGAGGTATGCACAAGATTTCAGGTCTTGTTTAACGATATCATTTAGCCTAACTTGAAGCCCGCATTGGTATGTTATTTTGGGCAGTGGTTACAGGCAGATGTAAAAAACGTGATCAGTCTAGTTTGTAGCTATATTTATAATCTATATTTAATGAATGTAAGTTATTGTTACGAAGCAGAAATAAATGTATAGAATAGAAAGTAGACATCCTGTGACAGACTATTTTCATTAATGATTATTAACCTAAAAGGGCTACCAGAAGTTTAAATATTGAATTTCAAATTTCTTTTGAGTTCAATTTCCAATAAAGATAATATTGATGAAGACATTTCGTAATATAAAATGATGTTGGTGGCTCTGGTGTTGGCAAATGAAGCGCTGTTAGAAATTTCAGTGATGGAAAACACTTAAGTCAACACCCATCTAAGGAAATTGTTTACAATTTTTGTGTGTTGCTTTGCCAAAGGTCGTTTTGGCTATAGGACAGATGTTGTATACAACCGATGTTACATGTGCTAATGTAGGTGTTATTTTGATGCCAATGGACATATTCAGATATTTTTTAACTATCAGTTTCTATTATGCTTCTAATCTATCTTAGCTTTATACTGGTGAGAATAACACTGATGCAAATGAATACGACTTTAAAAGGGCACTTGATCTTGTTCCCTTTGTTGTGAGTACTAATTTACACTGCTTGTACCTCGCAGATCATAATTATTAGTTAATTGAAAATCTCCTGCCATTAGCCCTCGTATTGCAAGCCAAACGCTAAAGTATGTGACTGTTTCGTACGATAACAACAAAGATTCTCTCGTTTCTTGTTTTAAGCATCTTATATAATTTTGCTATACTTTATACTTTACTTTATACTTTATACTTTAGTGGCAAGGTATACTTTTCTAGAACATTCCAGACACTACGTACTTTCCAATAACCATTCTCGTTAACATACCACTTAAGGCTATCAATTATAACTTTTTTGATATATTTATTTTGCTAAGACACTTCAGTTCAATTATGTTTGTCATACAAACCGCGAAAATACTGTTAATATTTGATTTTCATGCTCACCCTTAGTTTGATGAATGTGTGTTCAACTCAGCACGTTGTATTAGTGAGTTGCATTAATTTTGCCTGTGGTTTCTGGAAAACAAACCTTTTTCTCATTTATTGAGAATTTTCTGCTTAAAGTTATGTTCCTGTTAATTGAACAAGATGTATTATTTTCATCTAGGACCCACTTAAAAAACAAAAACTGTGGAATCGTATATGGTGCAGATCAATTATCAGAGATGAGTGAGTGCCATTGATTATTTTCACCTTTTTCTGAAGTCTGCCTTTGCATTCTGCAATGTAGTCTCTGACTGCAGATGAAAAACATTTTTGTTTGCAAAATCGTTTCTGAAGAATCTCCATGTATTGAAAACCCTGCCAGTCAAATTTATTTTTATTGGATGACTGCTTTCCACAGAGTATCTTTTCTCTGTTGATTAAGCAATTTTTTGAGTTTTCCTATCTTATATTGCCAACTATTTCTGCTTTAGCATATTGAAACAATATGGATTAACTACAATATGATGAAGGAAACTTGGAAATTTGTTTTTTCACGTGACATATGACATTCACCTAAACTATCAACGTTGCTTTTTGGGGTGGTGGGGAAGAGGACGGAAGTTATAATATTTGGGGAAAAGTGAAAAATATGAAAAGTCAATGGAAATTGATGGATGCTCCAAGAGATTTTGACTGAGATTTTCTCAATGGTTTATTTTGGTGCTCAAACTAGTTATTTTCACGCCAATCATTCGTGTAAAATAGAATTCAAGCATGTAATCAGAAAGCTCCTACTTTTCCGCACAATCCAGTCTATGAGAGTATTTAAGTTCATAGACAAAGTGTGAAAGGTATATAGATTGTATAGTCTTTATGCAACTCTTCTCTGAACTGAAACGGTTCTTTTTCAGCTGGAACAGAAACCTTGCACCTGACCCCCTCACAGCAGTTCAAGGAACTGTCTTCTGTAAATGCGCTCGGCTGTTTCATCAAGAGAGTAAGACCCTGAGTATTTTTTCATTATTAGCATAGATTGACAACTACTGTACAGGAGCTAGCGATTTTTGTTAAATATTTTAGTTAGAATATATGTCTTTTCTGAAGCTCGCATTAAGCCACGTAGCATAAATCGTTCATTATTTATTTCCCATTACCTGATGATTCCAGTCAGATAGTGCAAAATCGCATAATAACCTGTTTGTTGTTTTATTTACGTGTCATGAATTTCACCAAGAAAACGACTTTGCGATGATCTGTTATTTTTGTCATTGGTTGGGCAAAAGCTCTGTATTTATACCATTTCTCTCGTTTAGCTTCAGATGTCTTGACAGTGCTGCCCACGTTGGATGTTTTGCAATCGTCTGAAGAGTTACAGGGATATGAGCTGAGCTCAAATGACAATTTCATGTTCCTTATAAAAGCTTTCTACGAAAGCCTTGCTTCCAGATAACTGCCTCATTATCAGATAAGTTTTTCTTCTTTCTTATATCATTATTTGCTAATTTTTGTACAAAAACATTGGTCTATAAACTGCCGGAAATAGCACTTATGAATTTAATGCATTTGTCATTCTCCAATTGAAACATGATTAAATGTACATATTAGAGTCCGTATTTGTTTCTGTTTTACGAAATTGGCAACATCTATTGCAAAAATATCCTGACTCTAGTTTTCGGGTTGTATTTTGTTTCTCAAAATTGCTTACAAAATTGGTCGTTGAATCAGTTTTATGCAATGGTAGAGTAATTTGAGAGTCGTGTGTACAGTTTTGACAACTGCCAATCAGAAAGCCATGTATGGGAATCCTAATTGCCTCTAGTAGGTAATCAGTTAGACTGGCTTGATTTTTACCAGTCAGCATTGAGAAACACCCACTTTGCTGGCTCGAATCAACTTCATTCATACATTCGTTTGTAAGGAAAGATTCTTCTCCCGCAAATGCCAAATTATCATTGAAAACAGCTTAGCAATATATGAGGGATAAGACAACACGTAGTTCTTAGAAATTTTTGCTCAATTTTTGGTCTGTATATGGTGAACCCATTAATGTTTTTGTGGTTACGGAAAACTTGATACAGCAAAAATGTAACTAAAGCCCTGGTCAAACGATCCAACATTGTTGGCTCTGCGCACGCGTTATCGGTAAAAGACCGCCAAAATTCAACCATATCATTAATGTTGACTTCTCGGGTTGATTTCGTTCGCTTTGACTCTCACTTCGACTCTAGATTTTGCTTACAATTGATACAATTTATAGCTATGGAAGCGATTGCCTTTCGTTTTCTCGGATCGAAATGGGGTGGCGCATCGCTATGTGTGGCCATCATCGTAAGTGTCTGGCGAGAGAGAGAGAGAGAGAGAGAGAGAGAGAGAGAGAGAGAGAGAGAGAGAGAGAGAGAGAGAGAGAGAGAGAGAGAGAGAGGAGAAAGAGAAAGAAGAAGAGAGAGAGGGAAGAGCAGAGAGAGAGAGAGAGAGAGAGAGAGAGAGAGAGAGAGAGAGAGAGAGAGAGAGAGAGAGAGAGAGAGAGAGAGAGAGAGAGAGAGAGAGAGAGAGAGAGAGAGAGTAACAAGGAAGAAAAATTGCTATTTTTGAAAATATGAATTGAAAATGTTTAATTACATTTTTGCACAACTTATATTTCGCAACTTTAAGATAAGATTTACTTACATCAATAGAATCGAATCATTTTCTAAATAAGAATAGTTTTATTTTTACTATTGTGGAACGGTTCTTCTATTTCACTGGACATTCCCAGTAATTTGCAGTGCACGTCAGTTTTCCATATCCAAGATGATCCTCTTTTAGCTGACTCGCATCTGCTTTGCAAACACAGTGATAAATCTTGCTGAGGCCTTCACCAGACTGCTTAAGAGAATTGACACTCCCAAGCGAGGCAGCGCAGCTAGCTGTTGACACAGTGTAGCCCTAAATACAGAAACAAATTATTTTTGCTTGTTCAAAAATTTGGTTGTTTTACTCTGCTATTATGAAGTATATTAACAATTTGTTACTTTAAATTGCACAAAATGGGAACGCGGCCTCATGACTGACCGTATGATGTCTATGGAAGTTTTTCTGAGGGAGCTTTATGCCTTTTATATAGTATTGGTATGTCTTTCCCGAGTTAGTAAATTAATGCAACTTTAAATTGCATACAAGAGATAAATCCTCGTATTTATATTCCCGAAGAATACTTGATACTTTTCCTCAAGAATTATCAGATAAATACTAACCTCAGACCCAGTGAAGGCGACTGTTATGGTTCCTTCCGAGTCGACAGAATCGCCATCAAAGTATACCCATTCTGTTTTCTGGCGATATCTACACTGTTTTTGCTCGCTAGCGCCGACTTCTGCTCCGTCCACACTCCTTTTTCTGTCTCCTAATTGCCATGCATCACCCAATATTTTTGCATTCGTGATCCTATTGATAAATGTTCGGTGCTTCGTTTCAGCTCGATGAAGCAACCTCATACTTTGTAACTGGAAATAGATGCTAACTCCAGCTAATAAAATTGCTATTACACCCATATATATCGAAATTTTCAGAAGCTTGGGCAAGACAGCCATTTCCTCTGAAATAATTTTCAGTCTATCCACCGCATAACGCCGTTTCGCCATTTTTCTCTTTTTGAACTCCCTCGAGCCGTCGCAAGTTTCGTCTGGATGACTACTGCTTGAATGTTGCACTATTTATTGTTGCGAAGCTGATTTGTGATTGTGACGTAATGAAATGATTGCTGGCTAAATTCGGCACGGCACATTTTGTGACTAGTCGATCTAACAGATCCATGCCTGATAATTATTTGAAAACAGCTCTAGTTAGAATTTCGTAGACTTTTATGGCCCCTTCCTCAAAATTTACAAGCAGGGACGCGGTGGGGGTTTATCTCTTGGCCCGAGGCAAGAAACTTTATGAGATCCTAGGCCCGATACAAGATTTTATCTTTAGTTCATAAAGTTCATGCTTTTTGCGTATGTGGCAGCATTTGTGGAATGGGTCACAGGCAAATACTTTTTTGCCAAACTGTTTTTTTTTTATTTTTTCTCTCCATCTTATCTTGGTTTCATTCATTTCTAAAAAAATTGACCACTTGCTGCTATGCTAAAATAACTTGCTGCTATGCCCTTCTTTTGTGTCAACATTGAAATAGATAAAACTATGGAACCACTAGATTTTCTCCCGTTAAATTCGGTTTTAAATGCAGTTTCTGGCCATCCCTAGATTATTTTAATACAAAATTTTCCTTGCTGCCAACCATGATGGCGGCCTTGTTTAACACAAATACAATCATTAAATTATGGCCCCACTTTACGTCTACGTTTCCTGGTCTCTAGATCCGACTTCAAGTTCATTAAGTTGACCTCACGAATATTAACGTCCTACTCAAAAATAGCACAACTGTCTTCGGACTTAACCAGGTAAAAGAAACGTAAAGTTACATAATTTTGTGTAAACCATATTTTAGGTATATATACTTTGTTACAGTTTGAAGCTTTTAGTCCCCCTCCCCCAGAAAGTTATCTCTGGCGTCGGGCATGTAAATTTGTGTTGAGCCAGTCCCTCCCACATCAAGCCAGAACAATGCTCTTAAATGTTATCACTGCCCTCCCTTTTTCTCTTTTTCATCCACCCTTACAAAATTTATTTCATGAAAATAAGCACACTGAATAGATTTTACGAATATAGAATCCAACAAGAAATAATAGGCCCGCCTATCTTATCTATAATTTAGCCTGGTATGTATGAGATCTGAACTTCACTTTGAGCAACTTTTCTGCCACAAGCTATGTAAAGTTGAAAACTCGGCCGAAGAAAGTTATCATGTTTTTCTGGCACGGCAATCATAACAGTCAAGAACCCCTGGTATAAACTGTCCGTGCTGCATTCAATTTTAATCTTAAACAAAGCCAGGTAGATCATCTTCAACAATTAATAAGTGACAAGGAACTTTTTATGACTGAGTTAATTTTTTTATAATGGGTATCTAGGCCAAGAGGACCTCTAACCTAATTACAACAACAACAACATAAGAATAACATTAATAGAATTACTGCTACAGCAACTTGTCACACGTTGATATCAACTTTATTTTAAATAATAAAATTATTAATAATGAATGGATGAAAAATTAAAAATAGGTATGCAATTTTAAAGTGTATATCACAGGCCCCAAAATTTGCCCCTCCTAAGCCCTCTTTTAAGTCGCATCCATTTAGAATCGACGATGATTTTTGCCATCTGAGGTTGCCTATGGCGTTTTATTGAATTACCACAACAAATTCATGCTTTTGCTAGTAATTAATGAAATGCTCATAAAGAAATTTCTACTGTAATAAACGAAGTCTTTTAATAACACACTAGGCATTTAATTGCCAGGTAACTAAATGCCTGTTGTTTAACCTAGATATAATCAGGTTACCTAATAAATAAAATAAAACAAAACACTAAAAGAAAAAATGTTATTAAAATACTAGTCATTCAAGACATGTCAATAGTCAATTTACCCATTCATGACTAGCGATTTTTGTCGCCAGGGACGCCGACTTTCGTCGAATACTCGTAGGATTGCCATTTACTGTATTGATATACTCTAATGCCAGTTTCAATGTCCATGGCCAAGCGTATTTTCTCATGCACGTTTGCTACCTCTTTTCAAAAAGGCTTTTCAATGTCTGCTTATTTTTGTGGGGTTTTATACATCAATGAGCTTTTGATCCATACCAAATCGTTAGGTGATAAATTTCATTTTTGACTGCATCTGTTTCGCGCGCTGTTATTACAAATTAACTTCGCGCTCGTCTTTCATGAATGGTGATCTTTTACAGATAGCTCTACCTACTAATCTAAATCTTGGTTCCCACTAGGCAACTAACTGCGTTCAAGTGCGTCCATCTCTTATCCTTTAATTGAATTAAAGATAACAGATAAACTACCGAGGCATTTCCACTTGCAAAACATAAACACCCAGCTAGCTGTGTGAAGACAAGTCAAAATGAACCGCGAAACTTTGAGAAAGAGATTGGCAATTTTGTTGAACCTTTCACGTTTAAGAAGGCTTCAAGTTTTGTAGACAAAATCATAAAGAAAGTTCTGGGTACGTGAAATTTATAGAAAACGACAAGAGCTTGGCTTTTTTAATACTCTTTTCGACGAACTTAAAAGTGACCGAGCGTATTTTGTCACATAAAAAAGAACCTATTTTAAGAACATTGGTAGCCTAAATTCATTTTAAGTACCATTCATATAAGAACCTGTTTAGGCTTACTGAAAAAACCAGGTTTTTATATGTGCGTTAATACTGCAACATATCAACTAGACAGAACAGTTATTAAAACAGTACGATGCATTCACTAGATGTTTTTGATCAAATCTCTGCAAGCTTCCTAGAAATGATCAATAAACTTGATTTTGAAAGGAACGGTAAAAACAAGATCAATAAGAAAAATACGACTCTGTGAATCCAGACATTATATTATATCTTTTGTTTCTGCAATAAAAAGTGGAACAACCAGGAAATTTTAATTTTGTAGATCATTTTTGTAACTTGACGTCAAGCAATCAGCGCCACTGAATGCCTCCTCGTTCCCCATTTATTTTAAAAAATTGACTGTAAAGCAATTCTGAATCTCAGCAAAATGTAGTATAGGTTGCAAAAGCAAGAAAAATCAAGAAGCCACGTGCAATAGTGCTGCTTTTGCAAAACTATCAGCAATGACAAAACAGCCTATTGAAGAACTAAGGTAAAACGACGAAATACCAACTTTATACAACAAGGAGTATCAACTGTGTAGGAATAAAACCATCCACTTCAATGCAGAGTCAGGAAAACATCACGGCCCTACGACCGCTGGCTGGAGGAAGATTGTAGAAACCAAAGGGGTCCAAAACGAAATTTATGAAGGTGACCAAAAATTTGGAGACTTGGTCTTCTGGCTTTCAAAATGTAGTCAGACAAAAATAAAGAAATTAATCAATATCTATAAAAATCTTGTTTTTTATATCAAATGTGTTACAGAACTGCTTTGCACTGTAAAATTTAAGCGTAAACTTTTGTAATTTATATATTTAAATCATAATACACTTTGTTTTCAATTAATAAAGGGATGTTTATTTTAATCTCTACCAAAAATATCTATAATAAAAAACAAACTATTATTTTTGGAAACATAGAGTTGCAAGAAAATGGGTTAAAACTAGTTAAGTAGCCCTGACTTCCAGACCACGCCCATTTAAAACACGTTAAAAATGAGGAAGGTTTTATAGTGAGATACACTTGGCCCGGAGGAAGATTGACAACTTTTCTGGACTCTGTTGATGCCTGGTTTTTCCAATGTGTACGTGGAATGTATTTTTATTTTGAAACTCTCAAGTATAGAATTTTTCGGCCTATCATCCTATTTGCTTGTGTAAAAATTGATCCAGAGTACAAAGACAAATGAGAAAAAAAGCTCCTTTTGGCATTTGGCACATGTAAGGAGACATGAGACCTATCTCCTTTTCCAAGGACTTTTACATCGCATTACGTTTTGTTCTTGTTTGGTTAAAACACTTAATTCCTTTACACTTGACCGCCCTCTCTACCAAGGTATTCTTTATCGTCCTTTTTCTGCTTTGTAGTATTCCATGAAGGGTTATCGATCAATTTCTTTGGCTCATATCTCCAAACGTCGGCAAATAGGGTCCAATTGAATCGCTGAGGCACTTCGCATTTTGAGGTATACAAATCTAGATTAGCATAAAATCTTGAATACTTACTATATAATCTCCATAAAAGTCTCATGTCCTTTGGATAACTTCCATGTACCCCGATGAAATTGTCGCAAACTTTTTTAAAACGTTGGGTAATATTTTTCATAAATTTTAGTGGTGGATCATGATGTAATCTACGGTCGTGGTTATATAGAGCGGGTATATTAAGATCTTTCACCCATGTTGCTATCATCTGGTCTGCCCAAGGATGGCCTTTCATTTCATACGGATCTTGGTTCAAAAACACTTCTATTAGGTCACGTGAGAATAAAATTACACTCTCCTCGGGTCGAACAATGTTTGGAAGGCAGTGTACGTATCCCCAGTGGTACATGGGGCGCATTGGCATCGGAAGCTCGTGCAGAAATCGCTTGAGGCAAAAGAAATAATCATCGTCCATCCTTAAAAAATAATCAAACTCGTAGTTCTGCATGGCCCAAACCATGTGATACAAAAACCGTTTGCCAAACTCGACTCCACCACTGAGATTTTGAAATACAAGATCATTGTGAGTTCTTTGTTCTTTGATCAACTTTTTCCCGTCTGGTGATGATCCGTCAGGTTGGTCTGTGATGAAGATGCATTTAACAATAACCTAGGACGCAAAAGTATTAAACCTTAATTTTTAATTTTGTTCAGTCTTTAAGGAAGAGACTCGGCTCGGAGAGAATTAGAAATGGCAAAATATGGTAAACACATCACTAATATATAATAATAATAATATAAATAATATAATATAATATAATATAATATAATATAATATAATATA